CGCTATATATTTGTTAACAATTAATATATAATTCAGTTTTTCTTGTGAGCAATTGAACGAATCAAAGCATTACTGTTTTAAACGCTAACTTTAAAAGTATTCATATTTTTTAATTACACGAATTGTTACGTTTTCTTCTTGTATATTCTTAACTCATATTTTTCTTAATAAATATCACAAACAAAAAATGTCAATCATTTTGTCTCAAACTATTGAGTATCTGTTAATAATCAACAGAAAGATCACAATTTATGGATCGCTTTAAGAAGAATGTTACGCATGACATGACTCAGGCCTTGAGATCACAATAATTCAGATATAATTATCATATCTATAGATATAATCGTCTCAACACTTTTCATTGTATGACACCTGCAGTCGTGGGCAACGAGTTTCGCATTTATATATATCACGTCTTTGGCAATAATTGATGTCACAGTCGATTGATATACCGTATAATGTAAAGACTACCGCTGTATACACACCCCCTGTCCATCCATTTATTGATTACGTTTTCTGTAAATCCAATTAAATAAACGATTGTACCGTAAGTACAGTATATAAAGAGTGAGATATAAATATTATGCTAATTGTATAACAAATGTATACATCGCTGACCATCTGTTCCCAAACGACAATATTGTCGTCAATTGGTATCTCATTTGGTATGCATTGAACAGCGAGAGCCCATCGTTGACCCAAATATGGGATCAATTAATTGTTTAAGTTTCGCATCGTTTGCATTCACTTTTCAAATCAACGTCTATTATAATATACCGTATATTTAAATACAGTAATAATGAGTGGTATTTGAGAAGTGATGTGACAATTGAGTGACAATTTAAATATGTTTCGCAAAAAAAACTTTTAAAAACTTTTTTTGTGCCAAAACTTGTGATGAAATGCCATTTGTCTGACGTATTGAATGACGAAATATGTTTGCAAACACTTCAACACATGTCTTATGTCTTGAGTTATTGTTTTGGTTATTGTTTTCAATTTCATTCAGTGTTTAATGTTTTCTGTTTTTGTGGCCAAATATCATGTCATCGAAGGTATTGAACATAAATGTGGGTCTTTTGGGACACATCGACAGCGGGAAGACATCTCTGGCCAAAGCGTTGTCCACAACTCAGTCCACGTCTTGTTATGATAAGAGCCCTCAAAGCCGTGAGAGAGGGATAACCATTGATTTGGGCTTCTCTTCGGTACGGATGTCGTGTCCCAAACATCTCATGCCAGAGACGGATCCGTTAGCCGCGGGCGTCGGCGGCACAGATGCGGGACAATCGGCGGCCACCAGTGATTGGACACTGCAGATGACATTCGTGGACTGTCCCGGACACTCGTCACTCATTAAGACCATCGTTGGCGGCGCTCAGATCATCGACATTATGGTTCTGGTGGTGGATGTGATGAAAGGCGTTCAGACACAGACAGCCGAGTGTCTGGTGATCGGAGCCATCACTTGCGACAAACTTGTGGTCGCTTTAAATAAAGTGGATTTGATTCCCGAGAATAAGCGCGAGATTGCCGTCGAGAAGATGTCCAAAAGGATCGCAAAGACATTAGAAAATACGAGATTCAAATCGGCGCCCATTATAGCAGTGGCCGCACATCCGACCGATCAGAATGAAGACAACGCCGACACCGCGGGAAGCGTTGAAAGTGATGTGATTAGTGATGCCATTGGAATCGAGGCTTTGTTGAACACAATTTGTCAACAAATCTCTTATCCAAAACGAAGTCCAAACGGAGAGCTGATCCTATCGGTTGACCATTGCTTTTCAATCCGCGGTTCCGGCACTGTATTGACTGGAACTATAATCCAGGGATCAATTGCTGTCAATGATGTAAGGCTTTGAAGAATATTATATTTGCGAATATGTTATCACTTTAAGGCAATACCTTTTAATTTACATGTCTTTCATTATCTGTCTTCAGAATATAGAGATCCCTTCACTGAAAACCATTAAAAAAGTGAAATCAATGCAAATGTTTCACCAGAAGATTGATAGAGCCATTCAGGGCGATAGAGTCGGTGTTTGTGTCACACAATTTGATCCCAAACTACTGGAACGGGGAGTCGT